GCCGCCGGTGCCGCCGCCGCGCGCGGGGACGAGGGAGCCCGGGCCGCGGGCGGGAAGCGCCGCACAGGAGGCGGGCGGGAAAAGCAGACCCGGCCCCGCGCTTCCTGCCCTCCGCCTGCCGCGCAGCGCCCCGTGCCCCTCGCTGCGGACACAGATACCTGCGCGCCGGGCTGCCCTCGGCACCGGCCTGGGCTTGCACGCAGCCCCCGACACTTCGTTTCAGAGCAAGGAAACGCTTCCCTGGGAATGGAGTTAGAAGTGTTGGTGCAGCATCGATACAAACCCTTTTAATGTGCCCGCTGTCAATTTGTTCTGGTGATCACTCCGTGCCTTGGGAAAATACAATTTATTGATTGAACATGACAAATTTACAAGTTACTCACATGGAGAAATCACCACGTAGCAAATGGCTCAGTGGCTCAGTCCTGCAGAGTGAGCGGGACCTGCCTTAAACCATGAGCCCTGTCTGAAACCATGAGCCTGGGGACCCTGCTGCGCTGGCCACGAGCGGCCCGAGGACACAAGGATCAGGGCCTTAATTAACAACTTGCAGAGTTTTTCCACCCAAACCATTTATATATTTCCTCCCCGCCCTAGATTTACCAGAGGCAAAGACATGGATTTTCTGAATAATAACTTCTCCTAAAACTTGAGAAAACAGATACCCAGGATTGTGCTACCCCAAGCTACCTTGAGTTACACATATTCAAAACTTAATCATTTGATTTCAGGACTTACTTCATCTTTGTGATGGAGAAATCTTAGATATATTAATCAAGTATGTATTAAGTGTATTATAGTTAATTAAACATTCAAAGGTTCTGCATTGTCTCTCGAAATCCTTAACCCTGATCCCTGCTTTGCATGTGATACTGTATAACTTCCTTAATTTTAGCAGCATCATTTGGGAGATTTCTTTACTGGCAAACCCAGGGACTGCCCTGATTCCCATTGCTCCTCTTTCTTTCTTTGTATATGTGTGGAGTTGAAGGCCCCTGATCACTTAGTCAAATTCTTCCCCAATTGCCTTGGGCATAAATTTACCCATTGCATTTATTTTTCATTGGGCTGATAGCAAATGGGGCAGAGAAATAAATAATAAAAAAAGGAACCTTTACTTTGATCTGCTTTTCTACTGAGGTTGCATTATTGTAATGCATCAGTATTAGATCATTTAAAATATGCTCCTCAAAACCTTTATCGTAAGAGAAGCAAGAAGGTTAGTAGATTTGCATGACATATCTGGGAGATACTTTTGGCAGTGAATTTAGTTGCAAGCAAAAATCGAGTCTTAATTCTCCACAGAAATACGGATCTCCACTAATAATTCCCATTTTTATGAAGTCAACTTCATATCAATTATTTTCTAAAGAAAATACTTCCTTTTTAAGACTGAAACTGTCTACCACCTTCAAAGTTTAGGCTGGCTATATTGTGAATAGGTTTCTTTAGTGTTCCTTGCCACTTATAGAAGTATGTATTCAGAGAATAACATTAAAAAAAAGGTCAAAACAAAGCACTGATACATTAAATAGTGTATGAGATGCTTTTTAATAAGCTTTAGAAAATAGCTAGCACAGGGCATGATCTAGGCCAAGGCTGGGGAGGAGGCCCCGTCTCGAGCGGAGGGGGTGAACACAAGTGGCCAAGTCGTCTGCAAAGGACAACTGTGAAAGAGCAGCAGGAAAGAGGAGACCACCCCAGGCCAGCCGGGGTGCCCAGGGTGGCTGTGGCAAGGAGACCCTGGTGCTGGTGGTCTCCCATCCGCAGCACAGTCCCATCTATTTCCCCAGGTTTTATCCAGTGACTGCTGCAGCAGGGGCTTCAGCACCTGGTGTTTTCCCTCCTTATTGTCCCTAGACAAATTATATTTTTTTTCCTCTGAAGTGATGTTTTTTCTGGCACCATGCTGAACTCCAGAAGGTAGAAGTTATCAATAACTGTGCTTAGGGCGAGAAGACGTTTTTATGTTTTCTTATACTCTCTTAATGTTTAATAAATCCTTCCTGTGCCTTTTTCCTTCCCTGAATTGTCCTTGGTCAATAAAAATAACTCACAAAGCAGGGGATATGGTAGCAGGTAGCATGATGGATTCTCCCTCGTTCTCGGTGGATGCAATACTGTACTTACCAGGTAGTCACAAGAGGGCAACATGCAGGAACTCTTAAGCATTTTGGAATGAGAATTAAACTCTTTATGCACTCTGAGAGGGCTTTAGTGGACTTTTATAGCAGAGGTCTCCTACAGGACCCTCCTCTTCTTTATTTTTGGTTTATGTTCAAGGAGAAAGAATGGGGATTGCACTGGGGTATCAAGCTGGCTTTTATGGCTACCTTCTACAGGCAAGACATAAACCATGGCAGGTCACAATACAATATAACCCTCTAGCTTGTGTCACAGGCAGCCAAACAAGAGCCAAACAAAATACAAACAGGGATCCTTTTCAAATCCCTTTAAGTTAACAGCATTTCCTGTCACGTACAGAGAAAATACTTCTGATTTAAGCAAGAGGATTCCATATGCATCAGTCAAAAAACTTGCTAAATAGCTCCTTTACATTTTTCTTTTTTTTTTTTTTTTCTTTTAAAAGCTTTCAGATAGTAGAACTGAAGCTGAATATCCACAGCTGCACTTCAGTTGGAAAGGGTAAGTGTTGTCTATGACACAGGCTGTCGTAGATAAGAGTGAGTGGGATCTTGGTCCTTGACCAAAGGGCTTCCCACAGGGAGAAATGGATTCCCTCCTCTGCCTGATTCTCTCTCACCTGAACCCATTTCAGACACCAGCATCTGGAAAAGCCCAGGGAAATCTCTAACACAGGATTTGGCTATAGTAAAGATGCAGAGTTATGACTGCTGCTTGCAGAGATGTTTAAATTCACTTTTCCATTGGAAAAGTATCTCCAGTCCTGGAGAAACTCATAATCCAGCCCCATGGATTATGGGTGTATCCAGTTGTTCAAAAACTGTAAAATATAACCCACTAGGTGCTCATGTGGCAAAAGAAGACATAGGTTTGAACTGCTCCAGATTCCACCTTCTTGGGTGAGGGCTTTAACCACCACACTTTCGCATGAAGGGCTGGTAGCCCAGACTGGGCAGGGATGGGGCTGAACTGCAGCTCTGAGAGAGCAGGAGATTCATTATGCTGAGGTTTATATCCCCTCAGAGCTATACTTTTCAATCCACCTCAAAGAAGGGTATCTGCTCAGGAGTGAGAATCTAAATAAAATAAAGACTCTGTAACTAAAAACCATTCAAAGCACTGTGTAACTGCCAGAGATATCCATAGTGAAAATTACAATATTTTGTTATAGTCAGATGAATAAAGCAGATGATGCTGCTCGCTGCTCCTTGCTGAAGTTCTGAGTTGTCATCAGCCTCCTACTAAATGTTGTCAGAAAAAGGAAGGAAACCTTTAATTTCCAGCCAAAGCATTCATTTCAGATCTGTTTGTAGTTACATAATGTTGCCCAATGGTTTTAGATATACAGTCCTTACTTTTTAACTCCGTACTTGTGCTGCTCATTTTGATTTTTCACCTTCTTCCAACTCTTTCCTCATCTCTTTGCAGAAACCTTCTGTCTCCATCCTTACTAGCCAAGCTATTTTCACAAGCATTGTCATTAAGAATAGATAAAGGTCTTTTAAATAAATTATTATGTTTGCTTAGATGAATTCAGAGGACCAGTGTACTGGCCAATAGAAGAAACCGATCTGTGAGGGAAACCATCTTTTTCTTAAAATGAGTTTTAAATGAGATTAAATTTTTTAAAATGAGATTAACTCAGAGCTGCTCTGATCTTAGTTAACACTCATGCAGTATTACTTAATTCTTGCTTCATCCACTGTATCTCTTCTTCTCAGTGTCAGGAAGAGGTAGCTACAAAAAATTACCATATTAATCCCGGTTAGAAACAACAGCATCAAGTGCTAGCAGTCAACAGAGACAAGCTAAACCTCCCTAACAGGCCGATTTGCCATAAAAGCCCTTCTGGAAACCAAATGTATGACTTAGAAATTTTTTTAAGAAAAGCACCCTCTCCAAATCAAACTTTTTTTTTCCTTGGAGCATTCAAAGAGAGAAAGATCATATAGCCTATGAAATCCTTGCTTGCTCCAAGTAGGTGCAGAGCACAGGCATGATGCGTGTTCAGAAAAACTGGACTGAGATTCCCGCATTCTGTCCATATGCTACTTGTACTGAAGCTCACCTGTCCTGTTGGTGGTTAGCCAAAATGCATTGCAAATGCTTGTCCTCACATATAGCTGCATTAATTTGGGTCTAGACTTGTCTGCTGAGATTGTAAGTGAAGTTACTAAGTTGTGGGGCTGACATTCATTATGCTTATCATATTTTGGACGGTGGCTATGAATATAAAAAGGTCTTTATTCTTCTAAATACAAGTTCCTAGTACTACTAAATATATCCATCATGATCACTGCCCTTGCATTTTGCTACAGACACACAACTTTGCAGAGAGAGCCACAGATAGCAAGGATGCCGTTATTTTTAATTCAGAGGCATAAAAATAGCAAATGGATTCTTTTGAGTGTTCACTTTATTATGTTGCTAATGAATTATAAAATGTATATCATCAAAATAAATATTCTTGAAATTGCTTCCTAATGAATCACTTAGACAATGTGCCTATTCAGTTGTGTCAATGATTAATTATATTCTTGCCTCCTTCCTGGAATACAAATGCTTTTATTAAAGCAATCCAAAGACAGTAAGACAACAGACTCATTCTTACGGTCATTCATTCAGTTGTACATTGATAGAGTTTTCCTTTCAGCATTTTAGAGGGTATCTGAACAGCTGCAAGTGAC